AGAACCTTCTGAAATGAAGATTTGAGTTACTCACTAAAGGCAAAAGGCTCATCAAACCAAGACACTTGATAGTGACAAGAAGATATAAAATGAATATAGGAGGAGAAAGGTCATAAATTACAACTACGATGATAGCTAGAGAACTGACAATAATAACCTGATCCCATATTTCTTTGCTTGCTCCTAGAGTGTAATGCCCATTTTTGTACACAACCAATTTCTCTGTAAAATCAGCATTATCACATTTTAAAAAATATTTCTTCCTCTTCCTTTAGGTTGGATCACAACAGAAAAAGAAAGAAAAGAAAAAGAAGGAAGGAAGGAAGGAAGGAAGGAAGGAAGGAAGGAAGGAAGGAAGGAAGGAAGGAAGGGAGGGAGGGAGGGAGGGAGGGAGGGAGGGAGGGAGGGAGGGAGGGAGGGAGGGAGGGAGGGAAAGACAAACTATCATTCAGTATCCCTCCAGACTGCAGTCCCAGCTTAGTTGGAAAACACCTGGGTACTTGTTGTGGATCTTCTTAGATCCTCTTCAGGTTTATTTCCTTGATAAAAAAAGACAGAAATCCAAATTGAAATTGTATGAAAACAAGGGAGAGAGGAGATAGAGAGGAGGAAAAGAGGAGGAAGAAATGAAGAGATTAACTAATTCTTGACTGATTCTAGGAATTAAGAATAAGAGTTTAGTTGCAATCGGCATGAACTCAAGTGCTGACTGAACCCAGGACTTGCTCTTTCTGCCACCAGTTTCTGTTTCTTGTTTCACTTTGGAATCACATCTATTTTGAGTTCTGGCTCATATTCTTTTAGAACTAAGACCAAAGTGTAATGAACACTTTTCCTTGGATTCATTTCAATCATTCTTATGTCTAAAACAATTAGCAAGTTTCTGCCAGTTACAGAAGACTAAGATTCACCTAGTTCCCAATACAAGCAACTTTAACAAATCAAAGTAGTCTGTCTCTAATTTTCCCTATTAAAGAAAAACAGATAGAAAATACGTACTTGAAAACTTATGGTACATAATCAACAGAAAGCAAAATCATAACTAAAAAGAAAACACGGATGCAAAAGAATTTGCAAATTCTGCCCAGCTTTTTTTTTAATGTTTTTTTTTTTTTTTAATATGATTTTTTTAGAGAGACAGGAAGGGAGAGATAGAAACATCGATGTGACAGAGAAACATAGATTAACTGCCTCCTGCACCCTCCACCCCAGACTGGGGATCGAGCCTGCAACTCAGACATATGCCCTGACCAGGAATCAGACTGGGACCTCTCAGTCCATGGGACGATGCTCAATCCACTGAGCCACACAGGCCAGGCTACCCGGATTTTTTATAGCAAAGATGATACCACACATATTCATAGTTTTTATTTATATATACTTTGCAGACAATCAATGTGGTATCTGCTTTCTAAACATTTTAAAAAGCACTTCAGTTATAATTTCTAATAAGTAGGTATTATCTGTGTTAAAAATACTTTCTTATTCAGTAAGTTAATATATTTAACTTTAGCATGGGCACTGAGTTTCTATAAAGAACCACAAGTAGCTATAAAAACATATAGTTAGTAAAGATCATAAGTATGTTGGTATTGTCATTACCATTCATTATCATTACCATTCTCAATATTATCATTACCATTCTCATATTACATTAACTTATAAAAGGATAGAATAATTTATATGCTCTACTTAATACAACATAAAAACCTATGTTTATGTCATGAATTATTTAATAGTTAATGAATACTCAGTAACACCTATGCCACTGTTTTACTGAGTTTCCTTAGTTTAATGAAAAAAACAGACTACTTAACTGCTTTTTGTATTTGTGTTCTGATTCCTTAGCTTTGTCTAGAAATAAGACTGCATCTTTGCCCTTTGTTGGTATTGCTTCCTAAGTTCATTATCCTGTGACTATCTGGTTATTATTTTATAAACGTTCATATTTCAGAAGCCCCGTTTTTTTCTTTCTCATCGGTGGACCTGATGCTAACCGCACTCATTATCATCATGCGGCAGTAGTGCTCTTCCTCTGCCTTCGCTGCTTTAAAAATTAATGCACTGTTATTTCTGAACACTACATAAGCTGCTTATGAGTACATTATGCTATCGAGCAAGCACGTCCAGAAAAGCTTCCTAAACTGTTATTCTTTCAGTGAAAATACAGCTGGTTCTGCTTCAAAGGCACATCTTTTCACCTGCAAATGGACTTGCTCCTACATTTATTCCTCAATTCATTGTCTTTTATTTGTGTCTGGAAATCTTTAATTGCCTTTAATTAGAAAAAAGTAAATTCAGGGCTTTAATCTTGCAAATACATTCACTCAAAATTCTGTCTGGGATGAATACCAAGTCCTATTCACTGTCTGATCTCTATAACAAAGATATATAATTTATTGTCCATTTATAGAGACCACCCAATTAAGATACAATAGAGAGGCAAAGAGACAAGTCAAAATATTTATTTGTTTGTTTGTTTATTTATTTATTTTTAATCCTCACCAAAGGATATTTTTTCCATTAATTTCTAGATAGAGTGGAAGGGAGGGAGAGAGAGAGAAAGAGAGAGAAACATCGATGTGTCTCACATCAACTGGTTGCCTCCCTCTCGCAAGACCCTGACTGGGGCCGGGGATCAAACCTGCAACCCAGATACCAGGTATCTATCCTTTACCCCGACCCAAACCCATGACCCTTCAGTCCAAGGGCTGACACTACCTGCTGAGTCAAACTGGCCAGGGCTCTATTTCCAAAGTACACAGAGGATAACTCATATCTATACAACATTCCAATTTACAAACTGCTGTAATACTCTTGGACCTCACACGAACCCTGTGAGATAGGTATATCATGTGTTTAGTTACACAGGTAAGCAAAAGCAGGTTTATACCTGTTTGTATGGGAAATAATACAATAAACAATACTACAAGAATAAACTCGGTATTTTGTGTAAAACTACTTTTGCCCCACCTTGTATTTTCAAAAGTAAAACAGAAAAGGGAACTTTCTGTGGGAACATAATGCGTATCACGGCACCCTTAGAACAATTTAGTATAAGAAGGCTGAGGTTTCACAGTTATACTACTTTTCTGCCTTCTTCTTCTTTGGCTGTAATAAATATAACAACAAAATAAAAGAAAAAAAGCTGTCATGTTAATAGAACAGAAGACTTTGGAGTTCTAATATGTCTATTCTCAAAATTGGTTATTAGAGAAAATTAACTTTCTTTTTTAAAAAAATGTTTTTATTGATTTTTTTAGAGAAAGAAGAAAGAAGAGAGATAGAAACATCAATGTGAGAGAGAAACATCAATTGGCTGCCTCCTATATACCCCCCACTAGGGACTGAGTCCACAATCTGGGCCTATGTCCTGACCAGGAATAGAACCCAGACCTCTCAGTACATGGGACGGCACTCCATCCACTGAGCCACACAGGTCGGGTTAAACTAAATTTCAATAAAAACCTCAGCAGCTTTTTTGTGTAGGAGAAATATTCTTCTAAGGTGACAGAAACCAAAAGAGTGGTTTCATATTGGAGATTGGGTAGACATGGACTTGGACTGGAGTAGACATGGGGAACTACCTGAGAAGATAGAGATGTTCTATATTGTTAAAATTCTAAGAACTATATATTTAAGAGTTGGATTGTGGATTGATTTACAATATGGTTATTCTTCAGTTACGTGGTTAGCACATCTCATTTGATCAGAGACTTCAACCTGGTGAGTCAGTCCTTCTATTTAAACATATAAGTAACATAAGAACTCATACTATTTATCCACAAGGCATCCTATAAGTAAAGAAAGGATAATACAAAATAAAACAACATAAACCTCCCCTCAAGAAATTATCCAGATATATACTGTCTTGTAATTCACATTTATCTGACTAGCAGTTAGGTGAGTTGGATATATAAAGACCTTTTAATTTCATTTTTCATTGTAATAGTTGTTTGTTTTGTTTTTGTTTATTTAGATTTCTTTTTTTATGAACTGTCTCAGTATTTTTAGCCCATTTTACTACTGGCTTTTAGACTATTTTATTTATCTCTAGTAGGACTTTATTTTTCTACATCTAAAATTTAATTGGTTATATGTATTGTCAATATTTTTTCATTTTGTTTTACAGAAATATCTTTTCCTTGGAGAGCAACTTTGTATCACATTTATGATATAGGTACATATTCTTTTAGTATCAACTATTTCTACTTATCATCTGATTTCTATTTCAATTTATTTGTTTTTCCTTCAGTTATTTAGAAGGTTTTTTATTAACTTTTTTTTTAATAGCCAAAAAAAATGGGAACGGGTAGAACAGAAAGAAACAAAAGTAGAGGGTAAGGGGTAGATAAGGAAAATTTACATTTTTTGCTTCTGATTACTAATTTACTATAATTTGTTCAGAGTTGTGATTGTGTATACTGATTCTTTAAAACTGGGGGACTTGGGTTGTGACTAGTATTTAAGTAATTTTTTATAAATATTCCATGAGTCCTTGAAAAGAACAAGTAGAAAATCCTACATCATATAAAGTCTAAAACAGATAAGCTTCTTATCTTTCTGTGCTGATGAGTAGCAGTTCACCATTTTACTAAGGTAAGGTAAAATTTTAATAGAGAATTTTGAGATTATCAAATTATTATCATTAATAGACCACATAAATAAAAGTTTTTACAGGGATAAGAAAGATTTAATAGATGATAATATTAAAAATAGTGTCTATATAAAAGCATCTAGCCTTAAGAATACAAATATTTTTTAGTTTTTATTAAATTAATAAAAACTGAAAGAGCTTTGAGAAAATTACAGGGACACAAAATGTATTTCTCCACTGACAGGCAGGGCTGCACTTTTTGGCTTCTTAAAAACTCTATACTGTCTTTCATTATTCAATCCTGTATATTGTATGCATCAGGGAAAGGTTATTTTCTTAATACGACACATAATTTCTTTTCTCCTAATTTGAAGAAATGTATCAAAAGGAATTTACTGCTTACCAATTTGCTTTCTGTACTGATCAACAGGAAGTTTTATAGTGGAGGCATCTTTTCTACCCATCTTTGATCTCCAAAATGCCTTCTGCAAAGAAAAAAAAATCATGATGAAGTCCTAAAAAACCAAAAGCACTATCTACAAACTTCAGGAATAATTTATTCCATAAAATTCGTTTTTAAAGCAATAGGTAAAAATGCCTTTGACTTATTTCCATTAAATATCAGTAAAGAACACAAAATTATTTCATATAAATTATCAAGGATACCATTGGTGGTAATTAAATTTCCCTATCATTTTATGTTCTTGGTAACACTCATTTTATGAAGTACAACCAATGTTCAATTAAACTATACAGAGAGCATTATCTGCAAATGTGAAAGTGATGTAGTATTATTCACATGGTTTGAGGCTGCAGGCATGCTCTTGACAGTGTGTTTCTTTCCAACTACCTACTATGCCACACAGCAAGGCTAAAGTTTAAAGCTCAGGTAACAAAGTACAGAAATTTGAGTTCTAGTTCTGCTTCTCTTTCTGTAAACACAGTTTAAACTACCACCATTTACTGATATTCTCATTCTTACTACACGATATGTACTGTTTGATTTAATCTACCACGTATCTTTCAAATCCTGTTATTTTTATTGAATTTAAATATTGTGACAGACACAAGCAACTCATCAAAATCCATATTCTCCTTTTCTTCCTGGCTCAGAGTTGGACTGTATTTCCTAACCTCAGTCCAAATATGTGACTGAGTTGGTGTTAATAGAGTATGAATGGGAGTGATGTGTGTCACTTGCAGACTTGAGTATTTAAATATCTCCCTTGTTGAATCCTGAGTTCTCCTTCCTCTTCAAATTAGCTAGAATGGAAATGATCCCTAAATAAACCCTAAGGGTACATTTATAGGAACACAGAACCTTGGCCAGCCTGGGCTGGAGGAGAATATTCTAACTTGTTTACCATCATTGTACTCTACTGACAAACGAATGAACTTCTATTATGACTGAGTACATTATATATAAATTGGTGGAGTCTTACAGACCAACATGTTCCTGAATGCCCTGGAAATTGTTCCTCTGCTTCTAGTAAGGAAGCTACAAGTAAAAAGATTAGGTCAGGCAGTAACTGATCAGTGTTTAAGCAAGGAATACAGAGTCAAATAATTTGGAGACTAATAAGGTTGGAAGAGCCAACCTCTAAAAGCCAAATAGTAGGAAACAAAAGTGAAAAAGGTGTTGAAGAACAAAGGCCTATTAAGACTTCTTAGTTAAAAAAAGAGAGAGAGACAAAGAGTAGGTTAAGAATGGTACCCTCTCACCTGACCCTACCATTTCAGATCACCTACTGGGTGGAAAGAGAAAAGCATACAAAGTCCTGAAGTATAGAAAGGAAGAAGACAAGAGAACTATGTCTAGGACAACAATTGCAATGTGATTACTGGCACATGAAACTAACTACAAATGCCAAAAAGGTTACTATAATCTGAGAAAACTCTATTTATGAGGAAACCAGAAATTCTATGTAAAACTCTCTGCGCATGAAAATCAATCCTTGGGCCTCTAAACTTAAAGCAACAAAGTGCGCAGCCCTTAAGCAATGCAAACACTGTACATTTGTAGCATCCCCATACCTGACCAGGAGGGAGAACCATCCAGAAGGCAGAGCCATGAAGAAAAGGGAATTTCTCTAAAAAGACCATAATTAGGATCTAAGTGTAAACACAGTACCAGCTCAAAATGGTCCTGTCTTATTTAACAAGATACTGAATTGCTTTTCAGAGACAACAGACCAAACCTACCAGTCATAGCCAAAGCATGGGCAGAGGAGAGAACTTTGAGCTCCTGCTGCACCCGAAACCAAAGTCTCACCCCATCTCCTCCCCACCTTCCAACACCAGAAACCTTCAAAAGTGAAGGATCCCTGTCCAGGAAGACCAGTGCCGATGCTTCTTTACCATAAATGGCTAAGCTCCAAGGTCCTCCAATTAAAACCTGCCCACCAGCCCTGGCCGGGTAGCTAGTTGGAGCATCCTCACGTACACCAAAAGGTTGCAGATTCAATTCCCAGTCAGGGCATATACCTAGGTTGCGGGTTCAATCCTTGGGCAGGGCGCATACAAGAGGCAACTGGTCGATGTTTTCTCACATCAATTCTCTCTCCTTCCCCCTTCCTTTTTCTAAAATCAAAAAAAACATATCCTCGGGTAAGGATTAAACAAAAACAAAAACACAAACACCTGCTCCTGCCCCACCAGCACTTCCACATACCCGTTTCTCCTTAACTCCTTAAAAACAAACTTGAATACCTGATTGGGGAGTTCCAGCTTTTGAGCTATAGCTTTACCACTCTCCTTGCTTAGCGCTCTGCAAATAAAGCAACTCGAATTTCTCCACTGCAGTGCTTGGTGTTTAGTGTTTGGCTCTGGCAGTGCTGGGTGGACAAACTCTTTCTGTTGGGTAACACAAGCAAATAAACGTCTACTGTCGGTATAATGGGCCTTCTTAGGGGTCTCCTGTGTAGCAGGTTTAATAACGATAAATCAACGACTCCTGTGTGTTTCTCATTCTTCCCATTTTGCTATCCTCTGCTTCATGATTATTAGGGAAGAGTAGGTCAATTTCAGTCTGGAACCTCAAAGAACCACATTCCAGTTTGAGAGGGGAGACCGTGCATTGGCTCTAGATCCTTGACTTTGTACTGGATGCAGAAGATGGGAACTTTAGGATCTCCCTTCTTGAGAGGCAGGAAAGAGGACGTGCGTGGCTATTTCATGACCAGAAAGCTGGACTACAGGAAAAACTGTTGGCTACTCAATGAAGTACATGTTCTCTCTCTCTCTCTCTCTGAGCGTACGGGTCTACCTTTTCTGGCCTCCTTTGATGCCAGTTGTGGGCATGTGACTGGGTTTCAGTCAATGAAATATGGGTAAATTAATGTCTGCTATTTCTAGAATTAACCTGTAAAAGCTTTCCATATGTACTCATTCATCTTGCTAAAATGGAGGTGACCTCCAGAGTGACACTGGAAAAAATGTGAAGGTGGCAGACATTATATCCTGGGTCCTGAATGACTGAACAGAAAAGGGCTATTCAACCAACTTGTTTTCCTTTCACAGTGCTGAGAGAACAAGAATAAACTTGTAGCATTTGAGCCTCTATACTTTTTGTATCTATTAATTACAGTAAGTAGTATCATCCTAATTAAAACAAATATGTTTAGATGTCTCCATATAAACTGATGTAATTATCAAGGTGTCGTTTTCCTAATGAGCATTAAGGTTCTTAAATGTCAAATGAATTTGAATGTGTTCAGAGCAAACTGTACTGTTTACTTATATATATGGTCACACAGAGCAATGTTAACAATGATCCCACCTAATATAGTAAAAGGCATTTCCAAATTAATAATTTCTACATATGTATAAAAATATAAATTCAGCAAAAATCTATTTTTCTATTCATAATAATCTTCAGATTTAATATTATGGCAATATTTAAGAATATACAAAGAATATACAAAGAATATACAATATTTAAGAATATACAAAAGTCAAATAAATTAAGTCTTCACTCCTCATAAACCATGTAGCTATTACATCAAAGATAACACATCCTTAAAATTAAAATTCCAGCCCTGGCCGGTTTGGCTCAGCGGTTTGAGTGTCGGCCTGCGGTCCAGAGAGACCCGGGTTCAGTTCCCACTAAGGGCAGGTACCTCAGTTGCAGTTTGTTCCCAGCCCTGGTTGAGTCGTGTGGGTGGCAATCACTCGATGTGTCCCTTTCACATCGATGCTTCTCTCTCTCTCTCTCTCTCCTTCCCACTCTATCTGAACAAAAAATGGAAAAATGTCCTCGAATGAGGATAAAAAATAAATTAAAATTCCAATGAAATCAGGACATCACCTAACCCTATAGGGGCACATTTTATAATTCAGAATATTGAAAGCAAATGCTGTTAATACAAATACCATCAAAATGTCAAAATATATATCTGTTCATATAGAAACTGTTTGCATAGTGTTTTGTATCTATTAATCATAAAGAGGAGTCAAGTTATTTTCATCTTGATTGTGTGGGGCTAAAAACTATATCACTTCATTTTAAGATAGAAGTTAGTTTAAATGAATGAATACACAAAATATTATTCCCTCTTCAATTTAGTTTTGTTTTTCAACTTTATGCAATAACTTAAATTTTTAAAAAGCAACTTACTCACTCACACTGTCTACCAAAACAGTCACTCACTATGCTTCCTCCAGTTCCTGTCTGGTCATTTAAACCAACATCCCAACAGAGATAACACTTAGAGGCCAGTATTTTATTCATTCATTATCAGTAATAAACAATTAAATGAGGAATCCACAGACAATGTCTTTTCTCCAAAGTAAATGAAATTTTATTTATTTTAAAATGTACTTTAAATAAAAACGTACACCAAAAAAAGCTACATAACCTAAATTTTTACAATAACCTATAATCTATGAACAGACACATTTTATATGTATAATAACCTGCGAATATGAAAACTTTAAAAGAAAGAATGTCAACCTAGGAAATTAATTAAAGAGAAACAAATTTTAATTTTTGTTATTTTTTTAGTGATTGGTAATCTCTAATCAAAATGTCAAATGTAAACTTGATTCTTGTCTTTGAAATTATTCTATTCTATTCTTTAAGCAAAATGACATTCAACTTAAATTTTGAAACAAAAGTGCCCAGAGAATGCACACATAATTCACGTTTTATTAGCTGTAACAAACACAACAAGTTAGAAAATATTTTACTTTCCTAATAAAAACATTGACGTTATCTAAAATGATCTAAAGAGATACCCATTCATGTGCATGGTGCAAACTGTCAATGCCTCAGACATCTAGAACCTCTAAATATTCTGACTTTTCTTTGTTCTTCAAAGCCTTGCAGTAATCACCATTCTTTTCTTTTGCTTTGATGGTTAGATAGCAAACTCCCAAGAAATCCAGGGAGACATTAGCACATACAGCCGCAATTTCTAATAAGACATCTATTTGCATACAGCATCAGCCACAATTTAAAATGTGCTCCGACAGATGTGGAAAGAGA